GGGATAAAAGCGGTTCATTTAGTTTACTTTTAATAACCATTAGTCTCAAATATTTTACATTGGTATGGAGTTTTGTATAATGATACAAGTTTAAGGTTATTTTTGTTATAGTATATATATGTTTTTATTCTTGTTTAAGGTATTGTACCCATACAGCTCATTTAAGAATGTAAAGTTTTAGTCCTTAAGAAATATTTAGAATAATAAAGAAATACAGGTTGATAGTCATCTGTAACAATCAAACTTATAATCATATTAGGTATGTTTTCAAGGCCATACAGAGATATATTTTGGATAGACAGGTGATCTTCAAACACTTCAAAAGACTACAGAATATAGCATTTAAAATGTTGTAATAACATAAAGCTTTTAATGACAATGAGACATACCTGTTCCTGGCAGCACCAATTTACTTCAAAAAAAAAAAAAAAGGGGTGGTGGGCATCAAAGGACCTTCATGTGGAGTGTGCTTTCTCTGTGGCAATGCTAGCCATTTGTGCAAGAGACTCCTGTCCAAACTGGACAAGCAGAACACAAAGAAAAGTGAGCACCAAAGTTTGCCCGCTTCACTAAAAATCCTGCCAGATATTCCAGGCCTGTAGGCTGAAGTTGGATACCCCAGTGTTGTTGAGGAACCTTGATATGACTGTCCAGGCAGCCACCTGTTTCTGTCATTTCTTTTAGCTTTGGAAGTTGCTTTCTCTACACTTCCTGTTTACTCAGATGATATTTTATCCTTCTTGGGTCTCTGATGGAGAATCAAGGTTAGATAATTATAGTTTTACAGTTTTTCTTGTCTGCAAATTCAGAAGAGAAACTTACATGAGAGATGTCAAGTTTATAAGGCTGAGAAACATAAAAGCATAAATTGTTTATTAATAAGATGTCAAGATCTAAAAAGACATTTCTAGGATGGTAATACAAGTTATGACAAAAACGGTTTGGGTATAAAACTTTGGATAGATAATGGAGTATTTTCTCTACGTTTGCCAAATGCAAATGGACTGGACATTATAAATGTAGTTCTCACCTGATAATTGTTCTTATTGTATGTAGTTTTACTGTGTGTAGAGTCAAACCTTTCTTTTTTATTTAGACAATAAAAGGGGAAATGTAGAATAATCCTTTGCACTGTGTGAAGATGTGTCACTGTGACTGGTTTAATAAAAAGCTAAAGGGTCAATAGCTAGGCAGGAGGTAGGCAAGAATGCCAGACAGAGAGGATGCTGGGGAGAAGGAAGAAGGTAGATTAAAAAATATGGGTTATTCCGGGCAGTGGTGGCACTTGCCTTTAATCCCAGCACTCAGGAGGCACAGGCAGGCAGATCTCTGTGAGTTTGAGGCCAGCCTGGTCTACAGAACTGCCAGTTCCAGGACTGCCAGCAGGGCTACACAAAGAAATCCTGTCTTGAAAAAACAAAAACAAAAACAAAAACAAAAACAAAACAAAACAAAACCAAAAAAGCCTCAGCTGAAACCAAGCTTTCATAATTTTTAAGTCTCCGTATCTGGTCAATAGAATAAAGTAATTGTTTATTTAACTTTATTGTTGGCCTAATATACTACTTACATGGATTTTTCCCATTATCCACAGATTCTTTCTGTTCTTGTTGTTTTAGAGTGCTGCCTTCATTATGCAGTCCAGTTACAATCTGGTCAGCCTCTTAGACTGGCTAAGAGTGGCACCTCACCCGAGCCACCGGGCATGCCTGCCTCAGACTGCTGGTTTGAATGAGGTACCTATACACACGACTCAGCAGACATACATTCAAGGCTTTTTGCAGATAGCTAGTTTATTAGGACCAAGTCTGAGCTTTTTAAGAAAAATCACTTTTGAGTTTCCTTTAAATATTTATTACACTGTGCCCACAGATCATCAAGGAGCTAGTATCTTCATGGCAGAGGCAATCAATAATTAAAGAATGTTTGGTATGATGTCAAGCTTAGGGTAAGGGCAAAATAAAGCAGGGTAGGGACAGAGTAATGGGGAAGCTGGTTTACAGGGGTGAGTAAGGACGGCATCTCTCAGATGACACGGGACAAAGGCTTGAATGAAATGAGGGAAGCAATTACATGACTGTGTCACTCATCATTAGGGTGCCTTATGGTGCTCATTAGCTTCATGCTCTGGCTTCTTAGTCACACTTCTTATATGGGGCTGAATTATTTATCCCTCCATGACTTAGTATACCAGACTTTAAAATCCAGGACGTGCCTGTACTTCATGTGTCTTTAAATAGCCTTAACTGATCACATAGTTCCCATTATTTAGTACCTCTTGGGTGCTTTCTTGTCAGGCCTGTAAACCAACCTGTAATTCGAAGGGCTTTGAAGAGAGCCAAGGGGAAGGCTCAGTGGGTAAAGGTTCTCGCCGAGTGAGCCCAATGGCCTGATTGGATTCTCTGAACACACATAATGGTTGGAAGAGAGAACAGATTCCATTATGTTGTCGTCTGGGCTTCACATTCATTTCCTGCCCCCATCAATTGCCCCCCCCATCTTCTACATAATACATCAGAAAGAAATTTAAAACATTTTAAAGAAAAGTAAGCATCATCTGGAAGACCTAATCAGAAGGAAGCAACTACGTTGTGAAAGTGTGAATCTTGGGAGTGGAGAAAACGTTTGATTCCAACACTGCATCTGTGGCCTTCAACATGTCACTTCATAGTAATCACTCTGTTTATCACAACAACAACATCAAACAGGAATGATGTGTTCCACTCACACTTTTAAAAAAGTCAAATGAAGTAATGCATATGAAAAATACTTGGCATGTTACAGGAGACCAATCCATGTTAACTGACTTTATAGTTTGTTTACACAAGCCTGAAATATCCTACAAAGGTAATAAGCAGCAGTTGGTTCTTTGTAACGAGTACTGTTTTTCCTCCCGCCGCTGGTCTTGTCCCGCCGCCACGCCAGCCTCAAATAATACACAGAGACTCTGTATTTGATACAATACTGTTGGCCCGGTTACTTGTTACTTATCGGCTAGCTCTGCCTTAATTATTAACCCATTTCTGTTGATCTATGTATTTCTCTTACCGGGGAGCCGGCGGCATACTGCTTTCTCCAGACTCTCCATCTTGACTCCTCCTTACTACTTCCTATTTCCTCCTTGTCTCCTAGTCCCTCCTATCTTCCTTTCCTATTGGCCAACAGTGCTTTATTATTAACCAGTATGAGAAACATATACAGAATCACATCTCCCATCATCTCCTCTTTTCTGTTTAAATAAAAAGAAGGGGTTTAACCTTAACACAGCAAAATATATAACACAATGGTTATCCAATAAGAATCACAGTTAACAATATTTAGTCCATTAACATTTAGCAAGATTAAAGGAAACTATTCTATCATCTATCCTATATTTGTGAATCTAAAGTCCTATATGTATCTTATCTTTAAACCTAACTAAGGAAAACTATAACCATAACTATTTGTCTTTAACTCTATCAAAGACCACAGAAGGATAGTATATAAACTCACTGCCTGGTCACCCGAAGTTCTTTTGTAATCTTCCATCTTCAGCCCATAAGCCATAGTGTGTCTAGCTGGGGTAGGGGGGCAGAGGCAGGAGGATCTCTGTGAGTTCAAGGCCAGCCTGGTCCACAGAGGGAGTTCCAGGACAGGCTCCAAAGCTACACAGAGAAACCTTGTCTCAAAAAACCAAAACCAAAACTAACAAACAAAAACCCAACCAGGATATTTATGCTGTCTTGTCTTTTCTTTCCTTGGATAGAGGTTCTCATGTTGCCTTGACTGGCCTGGAACCTGCCAGGAAGCTGAATTTGAAGTCCTGATCCCCAGAATGCTGGGTTTATGTGGTGTTGTGGATCTAAAACAGGACTTCCTGCCAGCTGTGTGAGCACATTCCCAAGCTACGCTCCTGGCTCCATATGCTGTCTTTTCACCAAAGTGAACCAGTTATCTTTTACAAACAAGAGAAAATAAACTTTGGTTAGTGTAATAGATTTGTACAGAGAAATGCACCTGTTTTAGTTTGCAGAATTGTATCTACTTTAGAATCTACTGGTGCTGACTAAAAAGTTCTCATTTAAATCACTTCTGCCATCCTGGTGAACAAAAAAACATCAACAGGCAATTGGCTTTGAGTTCTTATACAGCCTCAATTATGTGCTAGTCAACTCAAGCATCCATTATGTACTCAATAATAGCTATGACACAGCTCCGGACAACAGCAACACCATAAGGAGGCGGGCACAGATAGCTTGCTCGAGCTGCTTTTCCTGGTGATAACATTCTTAAGCATCGGGGAAATAGCAACGAGATCCTGTCTTCCTCATTAGAACCTTTACTCAACACTGTCTTGAGAAACGATAGCCCAGTAACGTAGAAGAAAATGCAGAATGCCAGCGTGGGGATAAATTTCTAATAGTTGTTATGAACATATTTTCCTGAACATAAAGCTTCTGTTGAGAGCAGCTACATTCGTAAAGGAAAAAAAAAAAAGTCTTCAAACTGCAAAACTGCGATGATGTATATGGCAATGTAACAAAGTAAACAAAAGAAAAATTTAAAACGTTGCTAAGGGTTGGAGATGGAGCTCAGCTGGTAGAGTGCCCGCCCATCACTCCGGAAGCCCCGGGTTCCATCCCTACCGCGCATCACCCCACCCCCACCCCGGCACGCGCCAGCACTCCCAGTCCTTTAGGGAGAGGTGGAGGCAGGAAGATAGATCTACAGTTCAAGGCCATCTTCCCCTGCGCCGCAAGTTCGAGGCTAGCCTGGGCTACGGGAGACCCTGTGTCAGGAGAAAACATTGTTAAAACAGCAGCGGAGGCGGAGGCAGCTGGTCCTTAGGAAGGCACGCGCTTGGTCCTGGCATTTAGGTTCCGAAGCGTTTTCAAAGCTGGTTACAGCCCTTCCCACAGCGCACCCTTGTGAGGTAAGTGTATTATCATCTTTGGTTCATAAATGAAAAAGCTGAGGCACCGAGCGATTAAGTCACTCGCCCTAAGGAGCATGAGTCAACGTCGAGAGTCATAGTTGACCCGGCTTAACGACTCCTGACCTTCAGTCCAGGGCTGAGTCAGCGGAGCCCCGAGTGGCTTCCCTGGCTGGCACCTGGACGTAGGCTATTTCCGTTCACGTTCAAGCAGAATACTGGAACCGATTGGACAGAACTTCCAAACTTTTGACGTCCAGCAAGATTCAACCCTGACGCATTCATCTCAGGACTGGGAACGGGAAAAGCCGACGCGTGCACTCCTCCCCTCCCCCAAGCGTGCGAGTGGGTACCGTGGGCTAGGCCGCCCACCCGCTGGGGCAGCGATGGAAACTAGTGACCACCCGCGTTAGTGGATCTCGGGGGACGGGGAGAACGCAGACCGCATCAACCGACTCTCCATCTCCATCGCCGCCTCTTTCGGAAACCAAGAGAAAATGGTGGGAGGCGAAAAGAAAACTAAATAAAAACACACAAGCAACTTGTCCTAGAACCTCAGCTAAGCCAATGAAGCCTTCTTGCGTGTGCTGAGCCTGCAGTTCCCAATCTTGTAGGAGAGATGGGAGGACTGGGCGACAAAGGGCACAGCAGGAATGCCCCGCAGTGACTGCGACCGCAGCTCCGCTCGCGGCACCGCAGAGGCCTAAAACCTACTCTGCAGCAAGCACCGGCGGCGCCGGGAGCCGCGCACCCTCGCCAGCGACCACGTGATCAGTTTTCTGTCCCTTTTTTTTAAGAGAAAAAAAAACTTCTTCGCCTTAAGAAAAAAAAAAAAAAAGAGAGAGAGAGAGACTCCACTTCCCAGAAGCCTCTCGGTCCCCACGCAGCAGCAGTCTTGCGCAGGCGCCGCCAGGGCCAAACGGACACGTCCGTCACGTGGGCAGGAGCCGGCCAATCCGGTTTGAATCTCATTTTTTCCTCTCGCCCCCCCTTCAGGAGCGGTTGTGCGATCAGATCGATCTAAGATGGCGACTGTGGAACCGGTGAGTGTTGCCTTCGGCCCCCACCCCCGAGGTGCCCGCGCTCCGGCTCCCTCCGCTCAGGGACTCCCCGCGGGACGGCGTTCCCGGCGCGCACGCCGCCCCCGGCCGCGCCCGGCCCGTGTCCCCTCGGCCTGACCTTCCGCGGGCAGCCTTGGCGGCGGGAGGCTGGCGGCGGCGGCGGCGGCGTGGAGCGCACACGCCGTGTGGGGGCCCGGGCACCGGGGCGGGGGGGAGGGGCGCCGCGCGGCCCCGGGGGCGGGGGCGGCGGGGGCCGCGGGGCGGGGGGGGGCGGCGGGGCCGCGGGGCGGGCTCGTAGCGGGCACCGTGCTCGGGAGGGACGGGTGGGCGGCGAGCCGGCCTGGAAGAGCCCGGGGAGCCCGGGGCAGCCGCGCCCTCGCCGCCGCCGGGGTCCGCGTGCCGGCCGCGCTCGAGCCGAGGAGGAGGAGGAGGGTGGGTTGGCGGAGCCGGTGGGCGCGCGGGAGGGAGGGGAGGAAGGAGGGGCGCGGCAGGAGCGCGGCCGGCGGCTCTGCGTGGAGTGGGGAGGGAGGACGCCCTGGGGTCGCGCCGCGCACCCTTCGCCGGGCCGGGGGAGGGGGCCCGCGGAGGGGATCACATTGTCCCGGCCCCTCGGCACCGGGACTGGGCTGTCATGGAGAAGTGGAGGGGAGGAGCGAGGCCTACAGATCGCCGCCGCGGGTCGGCTGGCCGGAGCCCTGCCTTCTACACGCGCCGGGCTTCCCATTCATTCATCTTCCTGGGCGCTGCGCGCACGCCTCCGACGACTCTGTAGGTTCTTGTTCTCTTAGGCGACCTGATCGGCTGGAAGCTATCCAGCGAACACTAGTATTGGAAATAGAAACTTCCAAGATTGTCTTTCCTTAAGTTAAAAAAAAAAAGAAAAAAGAAAAAATAAGCATGAGGGCAGCAGCGCCAGCCGTGGGTCGCGTGTGCAAGTCAGAGGACAGCGTTTGGAGTCCGGCCTCTCAGTAGTGCGTTTGATTTTTTTTTTTTTTTTTTTAACCCCACCCTGCACTGCTTTCCTCTTAGTTAAAGCACTGTTCCGAAATCGATTGAAGCAAGATGCTCACGGAGCAGCATGTTGGTAGTTACCCGGAAGGAAGAAGAGTGATGCTTTTTTTTTTTTTGTCATGCTTTGGGCTTGCCAACAGCTGGGTCACTGGCCATCTGTCCCAGGTTTTTTAAGAAATGTCACACCCGTGTGATTAAAATCTCAAAGTGATTTAAGGTGTAGAGTAGCAACCTTTGACTTAGGAAAGGAACGCTTGTAGACTCACCTATAGACTGAAGAATTTTGATTAGTTTGCAAAACAGACTTGGCAGAATTCAAGGCAACTTTTTTTTATTTTTGGCATGATTTACTTGTTCTTTATTGGCATCAGTTTTCCTGGCAATTTGGTTGCTTACAAAACTGCATCATCAGTTGTTAGTGAAATTAACTGACTGTAGAATATCAATATTATTTAAGAACATGAGGGAAGCATTTAAATTTAACTTAAACTCTCTTGACAAGTTCTGATGTCTACTTTTGAGTGTTAGGGGAAAATAGTTTGGGTAATAATAGAAGCAAAACTAAAAAGACCCTAAGCAATAAAACAGCAATATGTTCTATGGCATTTCAGTTACATTCAAGTCTTAGATTGTGTTAAAGCCACAATTTAGTGTCTTTAGAGTTTGTTCTGAGTCAGTACTTACAGCTGCTGATGTTTAGGGTGGGGTACCAAGTGAGGTTTAGAATGTAAAGTTGCATAAAAAAATGTGGTCTGTACTCGTTCGTTGTGAGCTCTTAGGAGCCTAGTTGGGGTCAGAGTTGAAATACTAGTGATGACCCTGTTGTGAAAGTTGCATTGAAACTTGTTGGAGATGGTATGCAAAATGGCATCGAGGTACCTTTTTTTTTTTTTTTTTTTTTTAAACACCCCTGCCTTTAGACTTGTCATATGGTATTCTTCTTAATACTTTGAGATTTGTTTTTGGAGCCTGCCTGTGGTGGCCCATGCCTTTAATCCCAGCACTTTGGAGGCAGAGGTAGGTGAGTTCCAATCAGCTTGTTCTACAGAGTGAGTTTCAGGACAGCTAGGGCTACACAGAGAAACCCTGTCTTGGAAAGAAAACAAATAACAATAACAAAAAGATTTGTTTTTGATGCTTGATTTCAGCTCAGAGCCTAGTCCACACTAAGTTCATTCTATTCTAAACTACACTAATGCTTCTTCAGTTTCAGATAATTTTTTTTAAGCAGCTGATTTATTTTACTATTGGATTGCAATTGAGGAACTGTAAAAGCTTGTGCAAGTTTTATTTGGTCACTGCTGTTTTTAGTGTGTGATTTTTTTTTTTTTTTTTTCTTTTGTAGTGTGCCTAATGGTAAGTGCTTAGAACAGTGGTTCTCAACTTGTAGGTCGTGACTCATTTTGGGGGGTTGAACAGCCCTTTCACAGGGGTCACCTAAGTCCACCTGAAAACACATATTTACATTTTGATTTATAACAGCAAAATTACAGTTATGAAGTAGTAATTTTATGGTTGGGGTCACCACATCGTGAGGAACTGTATTGAAGGGTTGCAGCATTAGGAAGGTTGAGAACCACTTAGTTATGAGTATGTGATTTTTCTCTCCTTACATATCCAACCTTTTATAAATATTTGTCATGTCAGATTTTTAGTCTATGGAAAATCTATAAATAATCAGTCATTTTCAGTCAGTGTTTTTAAGAGTTTAAGATTAGCTATGTAAGTAATGGCTTGCACATATAGATTGAGAAATTCAAAAGGGAAATATATTGCTTTACAGAATCTGTAGACAAAGGCTACTCCTCTTAGCTTGGAATTGTAAGAAAGTCAAAATTAGACTCGGTGAAGATGGTAGACCGTGACCTCAACCATCTTCTAGTGGTTCTTGCTTCCTTTTAGATAACTTGCTTTTCTTCTGTTCTGTTTTTCTTGTTATTTAAAGACTACTTTCATTAGTTTTTGGAATTTCTTGTTATTTTTGTTTTTGTGTGTTTATCTCTGGAACTCATTTTGTTTGTATGTGTGTCTCTTGGAACTCTCACTCTGTAGATCAGGCTGGTCTGCCTAAATCTTGGGGTGGGAGTTTTGCCTTTCCAGCATTGGGATATACAGGTGCACAACACCATCCCTAGTCCATATATTTCCTCTCTTTATACTTAGCCCTGCTTTTAAAATAAGACTGGGAAGCGTGGAGAAGCCAGCTGTGGTGGTGCTTGCCTGTAACCTGAGCACTCACTGGGAAGTGGAGGCGAGAGAACTGTGAATTGGAGCACAGCCTGGCCTACATGACAACACCTTATCTCAAAGCAAAATAAAATTTAAGAGAAAAGATCCACTGAGATAGATAGCTTGGAGCCCTAGAACCCTCATGGTGCAAACAGGACCTCTTGCAAAGTGTCCTCTGACCTCCCAAGTCCATACCAAGGCGAGTGCATACATAGAGGAGTCAGTAAATAAATATATGTTTAAAAGGCTTTAAGAGAAACAAGGAAAAGCACTAAATGTTGTAAATGTACCGACAAAAAGCTGTTTATTGGTAAGCAGACTCTGACAATTTTTTAAAGTGAGGAACACATTTTTGTAATTTATTTATATTTTGTGTTCATTGGTGTTTTGCTGACATGTATGCCTGTGTGACAGGATCAGATCCCCTGGAACAGGAGTTACAAACAGTTGTGAGCTGCTATATGGGGCCTGGGAATTGAATTCTGGTCCTTTGGAAGGAAGAGCAGCCAGTGCTTTTAACCACTGAGCTGTTTCTCCAGCCCTAAAAGTTCATTCCATGTTTTATTTTATTTTATTCATTTAATGTGCATTGGTGTTTTGCTGGTAAAAGTGTCAGGTCCCCTGGACCTGGAGTTACAGACAGCTATGAGCTGCTTGCCATGTGGGAAATTGAACCTGTGTCCTCTGAAATAGTGGCCAATGCTCTTAACCACTGAGCCATTTCTCCAGCAGGAACCCATTTTATTAGTAACTTTGTTCAATTGTCAATTTCACTTCACTTTATACTCTGATTCTGTGTGATCATTTGACTTAGAGAAACGAAATGTGATGCATCATAGTTACATAGAATCGATGTAAAATGAGGCAGGTTGGCTTAATCTAGATTGAACAGAAAGTCCTGAGCAAATAACACTTTCATGAATGACATACTTAATTTCTAAGACTGTGGCTCTCAACTGAGGGGTGAATGAACAACACTTTCACAGGGGTTGCCTAAGACCACCAGAAAGCAGATATTTTGTAATTCCTTGAGTAGCAAAATTATAGTTATGAAGTAGAAACAATAATTTCATGGCTGGGGCTCACCACAACATGAGCTGTATTAAAGGGTCACAGCATTGGAAGGTTGAGAACCACTGTTGTAGAAGGCTAAGACTATAGAGTTAATAGAAGTGCCAGCAGCCCTGGACTTTTCTGAGACATGTCCAATAGCTGTTGTAATGCTCATTTCTCCTTTTCCTTCCCTGCCTCACTGGCGATTGTCTTCTGTTACATTGGGAGTGGCGACATCGTTCTCAGGGGCCATCGTTCTCAGGGAGATGACTGCGAAGTGAAAATGAGCATGGCTCCTATAATCTCATTTAAATTTCCCTAGAAATGAAGAACCTTGAAGTTTCTCAGTCCTGCTGAAAAATGGGAATCATATACCTTCATTTTATCCTGATTTGTAAATGGAGTATTTGGAGGTGATTTTGTCACTTATGTGGAGCTCATGTTTGTACTGGATCAAGGTTCTGCCTGCATACAGGCACCTCTGCATGCACCCATCTTCTGCTGGGACATTCTTGTCAGTCCTTGGCCATTAGCAAGCTCTGGGAAGCCTATGATTGCAGCCTCAGGTGTTGGTGCCTTTCCTGTTTCAACAGAGTCTAGTCACATCTAGAGAAGAAAGCGATTGCTTTTCATCTAAAAACTAATCATTTTTGTTTAACAGTCAGAAACAAGTAGTTGTCCCTGAATAT